TGCAAAAATTTAGCCAATTTTGGTTTTTCGTTTCTTGTTTTTTTCTTATTCTTCTTTTCTTATTTTTGTTGATTTTGTTTTCTTGTTATATTCGACGACGCGCTACGAATTCGCGCTGCCCGTTAACCGTTAGGCTTGATGCGTTGCGTATACGCCTGGCCTGCACTCAATGAACGCCGAACAACAACTGAAAACGTTTCGTGTCGAGTCGCCATCGTATGGCCCAAGCTGCGACCAACCAGCGTGCCATACAGGGTGCCGCAAAACCAGTTTACGTCTAGCTGTCGCGCTCTCTTAGTCACACGAAGAGCGCGCGCGAGAGAGCGAGTGCGCTCTGTGCTGGCGAAAAAGCGAAAGCCGCTGACCAATCAGCGCCCAGCAACTACACGTGCTTGACGCTTGCCGCGTTTCTCTGTTTTGGTTTTGTTTTTCGGACGCGAGAGTCGTTGCTGGCCACCTGTCCGCGCTCTTAGCAAAACGCTGAAAGACTTGTTTGAGACTTTTAAGCATTGTCTTTAAACAATTGAGCGTCAGAAGTTTGTTTAAATAATTCACTTTGCAAACAAGTTTAGCTCGCAGTCTAGACTTTTTAATGATGTGCTGTAATGCGTATCATAAATCATATAAACAATTATTATACGAGCATTTAGTACGTCGCTTTAGCTAAACTGATCTGATAAATTAGAAATGAACTCTCGGCCACTTCAACTTTATTATTTTATTGTATTTATACTTAAATTACCTTTATAAACTTATACAAAATATTTGCTCTTGATATTTAACCCAAATCAAAGATGTCCAAAGTGGATCTCTGCATGCATAATATCTCTACCCCATCGAAATTCCTGAAATAAGCAGAATATCCAAATATGTAACGAGTCCTAAGCTGTCACAGCAACTTTTATACTTAACAACAGACAGCTCAATCGCGACAAATATTCACGAATATTCACGCATAACTCAAAGTTCTCTATGCCACAGTCTATCTCTGTGTGGGTGTGTGTGAAGGTGTGCAACGTGTGTGCCTGTGGGTGCAAATAGTATTCATGAGAAATATGTCAAAGCTTTGCGGGCATCATCACTTGAATGTCAACAAGAGCAGACAGCAAAAATAGAAGCAGGCAAACACAGAAATATCGAATGAGTTTCTACAGGCAGGAAATTCTGAATGATAAAATTTTGACTATTCCATGGATGCATGGCAAAGCCTGTCAAGTGTCAAAAATTCTAATTGAACGCATTGCACAAATATTTGTTGCACTTAAATTTCAAGTGGTGCCACCAACAAGAAAGCATGCTTTCAACTTTGGAATCAAATGAAAGAGCAAAGTGAAAAACTTCGACTGGCAGCCGCGTCGTTTGGCAAATGCGCTAAAATCCTGTTACCAACTTTTTCCGGCCGGTCACTTTTTTAATTAAAAACGAGGCAAGCACCCAGTTTGCCTCGCCAAACAGTTTAACAGCTTAAATGAAAAGTTTCTTCCAACTGCTAGAGAAATATATCGTGTTTAAAGCACGCAACATGCGAATCGAGCTTTAAAATCTCAACAGGATATGCGTGCCTCGAAATGCGTTCAATCATGGCCTCTAACGAGAGTGCGTGCCCTTAAGAAAACTTTCGTGCTTTGTCATTTTTTAGCCAAAACACATTGTCAAAAAGGAAAGGCAGCAGCTGAAAGAGTCCTTTAGCATCCTTACTTAACAGCGCCAACAGCCCATCGATGTAGTCACTTGCCAAGTGGCTGGCAAACTTTTTTTCTTGCTTACCTCAGGCAAACTTTCTCGATTGTCCTGCCAACGTGTGTGTGCGTGGGTGGGATACGTGTGTATCTGCGTCTGTATATGTGAATGGAATGCCGGAAGATGCGTGTCAGATGACAGGCGTTAAGCTTCGAATCAGCTGTTATAGCTTTAAAGCCTTAGTCAAATCAATTAACAACTTGGCTTCTTTCAATGAGCAAGCAGAACAACTCCTAAAAGCATGCAACAAAATTGATTAAACAGGTGAATAAATTAAATCAGCTAATGGAAAAATCAAATCTATATATATTTGGTTTTTATATAGAAAGAAATAACTCTACTATTTCAAACTAGTTCTACTCCCTTTTCTACTCCAATTTCTTTTCATATTATACTTTATATTTATCCCACTTCTGTTCTGACTTCTACTCAAAGTTCTACACATACATTTTCTTTCATACTTTGCTTGTTATTGATCCTAATCATTCATAGCCTCTTCCATATTATCTCCTCTATTCAGACTTACATTTCAATTTCTACTTATACTCTTAATCCAATTTACACAATTTCTGCTCATACTTCACTTCCTTCTTCTACTTGTGTTATTCATCCTTCTACTACTACCTCTGCCTTATTCATACTTCTCCTCATTCTCCTAATTCCACTTATACAAGTTCTACTCATACTTCACTCCCATTGTTACTTACTACTAGACCATCTTTTAATCCATATGCCTCTCTTCCTCCTCCTTCTTCTACCGCTGCTTTTACTCCTGGCTCCTACATCTACCAGGGTCAATCCTTCGCCTACTTCTATTCTCACTTTTAATCGTAATCCTATTTATACAACGCTTTGGAAACCTTCGCTTTCTTTACTTAGCAGTCGATGCATTTAAATTTAATTGAATTTAAGAGAATCGTATAGGAGGTGTGTTACTGTGCCTTGATCATAAGTCAGCCAGTTCATTCAGTCAGTCAATTCGTCAGGCCATATAATCGCTTTCCATTTATATAGGCAGATATATGAAACTCATTTAGCATTAAAATTTACAGCACATGTGTCGCATTAAAGCGCAGATGTGCTCCAAACCCGAGCCTTTTTTGATAAGCCCAGTCATAGTACTGGCAGATGTGGATAAAAACCAATAAATTTATTGTCAACCTCCGCTATTGCTGTTATTTCATCCATGCTTCGTTAAGCTTACGTTAATTTATGTGGGCGTGGGTATGGGCAGGGGAAAGACCCTTGGGCTATGCGCAAATGATACACAAAATGACTTTGATAAACGCAATTGTCTAGCAAATGGCAGGGAGCGCAGCAAGCCTTAAGAACTCGTGGAAAATTAAAATGTAGGCTTTCGGGCTTTCAGGCTTGGCAGACTTCGAGGCCCTGGTAAAATCAATCAACAAAGCAAATAAATACAATTAATGTTACATTACGTATACGCCACGGTGCACAGCAGCCGGGACATAGGCAGGCAGCCAGCCGTGGCCAGCTGTAGTCCTTGTTGCCGCTTCCCGTCCTTGTTGCCGTGCCTTGGAATAAATTATGCTCGCAACAATTCTTTGCAATCTTATGCATGTCAACGCGGTGCGCAGCATTCAGGACCAGCGGCAGAAAGTCCTATGTAAATGCAAATACAACAAGTAGGTAAAAAGCTGATAGCCCGACTCAGATATACCCAGACTATTCAAAAAGTCCAATTTGATATTAAGAATTTGTATGCAGGGTATTTTCTGGTTGAGTTACTTTCTCAACTCAACGGAAACAATCCTGAAGCCAGCTTCTTCGCTTCCTTCCTACTTTATAAACTTCGTATGACAACAACTGTTGCTGTTCACTTCCTGGTTGAACATGCCTCCCACTGCACAGAAATGTGGATATATTTAACATATTCCGAGTAACTGCTAGACGTGCATTTCCCTTGACAACTGTGAATGGAAATAAAATAAAATCAAATATGCACTGACGTGTAAATTAATGCGTGAGTCTCTTCAAATGGTATTAAAGTATGAAATGGAATGAACAGAAGTATGAAAATGAATATGAATATGAATGTGAAGTGAAGAGTCTGGCATATGCACACACATGTGCTGCTCTTTAACATTCGCTTGTCTAATTGAAAGAGCTGTAAAAGCCAAAAACGCGAGACAAAAATGTGAAATGCAAATGCTAAAAACTTCACAAGTCGTCGCAAAGACCATAAAGTTGCCGAAAAGTTTTACTTAACGTTGAATTTGCCATTTGAGCTTCCTGCTCAAACTTTGATATGCCATGAGAGAGCGGAGAGCAATTAAATATGTAACACAGATTAACAGCTTAAAATATTCAGAAACTTCTTAAATGTGAGTCGAGTTATGGCTCAAAGCAAATTGCTTGCAAATTAAACTATGAATTTATTTTAAGCAAAAAACAAAATACTTAAGCTGCTTTAAGATGATAAAGCAAGCAAAATTTAGTTGAATGTACTTTATGATTGCATTCAAAATTAAACGGATTAAAAGCTTAAAATTCCACTGATTCTTATATTATAAATTAAATAAATATTTCAACAAAATTTTTAAAAATTCTTAGAGAAATTGCCAAATCTTAACTAATTTTAAAGTCCAACTTGTCGCCGAAATTACCAGCAATATAAAAATATTTGCCCTGAACCCCAACTACTATGAACTATTAGCAATCAAACTTTTTTATTCTAGTGTGCTTTCAGGCTAAGAGTGATAATCGTCTTAATTATAATATTAAATGTCTGTCAATGGCTTAATTAAAGCTGTAAGCGTGAGTGCGCGTCGTTCATTAATGACAGGCACTGTGAATTAGTTTAAGACCAGATAGACATATCTAACGACCGCTAATTAGTTTCGATGCGAGATATAAAACCACAATATACGCAGAGCTGCAGCCAACTGGAAACAGACAGCCGCAACATGTGGCAGGCAGTGGTTGTAATTCTAGTCCTGTGGCCATTGCTCGGCTGTATTCCTAATCAGGCTTTCACACCAAATGAGATACTGCAACGCAGCTACAGAGAGCAGCGCTTCGAGACGCTTTTATTGCTTCGGCATAGTCGCCAGCTGCACTGCAGCCAAATGGAGCAACTGGCAGCTGCCTCCACGTGGCCCATGCTTCGCCTCAGCAACGAGGCCAACTTCTATTTAAGGCGCAGCCAAAGCACAGAGATGTTTGCGCTGATCTGTCTAGCTGGCAGCAACCAGCTGGACATGGAAATGTGACACGCGCTGGCCAACAACTTAAGCAACATGCGGCATGTGCGACTGCTTCTGTTGCTGCAGCAGGCAACGGATCATGAGTTGCTTGAAGTGGCTCAGACTGCACAGCGGCACCTATTTCCACATGTGGTACTACTGCTGGACACAGGCAAAGCCTATCGACTGCAGCCGTATGAAGAGAAGCATTGGCAACTGCTGCAGTCGAACAGCAGCCCGATCTTCACCAGCAAATATAACTACCATCAACTCACGGCTCGCAGTCTACCCGATCAACTGTTGCCGCAATCTCTGTCTTACACGGATCGGAAGACAGGCAGAAGGCGGCTGACTGGCTATATGCCCATGATGTTAATGGAGTTTGCACGCGTCTACAACATATCGCTGCAGTGGGAGGAGCAGCCGAAAACTGACCAAAAGATATCCATGATTCTGTTGCGTAACATGACTCTGAATGGAACTCTCGACATGCCTATGACACTCTGCGGCTACGAATTGTCCACCGCAAAGGGCATCTTTACCTATCCCTTCGAAATTTCCGAGTGGTTCATCATAGTGCCCTGTGCCCAGGAGATAGCTACGGCCAAGGTCTACCCAATGGTGATCAGTCGCAACATGATGGTAGTGCTCCTGGCGAGCTACTACATCTTCGCGCTGCTGGATACTTGCTTTGGCTGGCTGTTGTTGCAGCAGCAAGTTGATTGGACGAACCTATTCTTCAATGAGCGCATGATCTCAGGCTTAATTGGACAGCCGTGCCGGCTTAAAGCCCATGCCATGAACAGCTCTCGTCTGGCTCATGCTCAGCTCTTTCTGTTGGGCCTTATACTAAGCACGCTCGTCACCGCCCACTTGAAGACGCTGTTAACTATGCGGCCCATGGAACGAATGATCACCAATTTCGTGGAACTGCGCGACTCTGATCTCGATATTCACTTCACCGAGGACGAGCATTTCTATGTGAATATGATGTCGAAATTGAGCCCTCTCCAAGTTGTTAGATCAAAGATCATATTTCTGGAAGCGAAGGAATTCGAACTGATGCGCAAGAGACTCAGCAAATCGAAGGCATTTTCTATGACAGACAACGTGTGGGAGTTTTATAAGAAGCAACAGCAACTATTCAAACGGCCTGTGCTATGCTTTCATCCCGATCTCGTATTTCGCTCCAAAATACTCGCTTCTATGCCATTGCAGCCGAACTCCATCTATGCCGAGCCACTGCATCAGTTCATGATTCGAGTCAAGGACACGGGCCTGTTGATGTACTGGAAGGAACAATCGCGTCGAGACTTTATCGCGTTGGGTGAAATCAATCGCAAAGATCCATATCCGTATGAGTCCTTTCATGACTTCAAGGTGAATGACTTGTTCTACGTCTGGTTGGGCTGGGCATCAGCCTTATTCGTGGCATTTGTCATCTTCTTGTGCGAGTTAGTTATTAATCACTTGAATACAAAATTATTAAATATATAAGTTAAATACTATTTAAGGATATTTGGATAGAGATGCATAACTATTTCAATTAATATATATCTAAAATACGAACAATATCAGTAATAGTATTAATAATGATCCACTCTGATAAATAATCATAGCCTCTAAATTTGTAGCTTATGTAAGCAAATAGCCCTTAGCTGTTGGCTGACGTGGGGTGTCCACTTCACAGTCGATAAAGTTGACATAAATCAGACATTTTTCAAATGGGGATTGGATTGAAAGTGGCAACTGATACCGTTACGCCTGCCGTTGACAAGGTTTCAATGTTGTCGAAACGTTTCGTTGCTTTAGTTTTTGTTTTTGTTTTTTTTTTTTTGCAGAGCCAGGCAGGCAGCCCGATAGACAGGCAGCCAGGCTTTCAGCCCAGCATCCAGATAATTGACGTATCGCTTTATCTTTGAAAATGTTGATGTGGACGGACAGGAAAAGTTGGTTGGATTTGCTGGTTATTGCAATTTAACGCGTGTTTTATGGCATCAGCGTTAGCAAAGAAGACAGAGAGTGAGGAACAGGAAGGGAGACAGAGCCCCATAGCTGTTGTCACTGATGGCAAATCGATGAGCCAATTGGCACTTTAAGCGCATTCTGTTGTGCTCCAGGCCCAAAGGGAAATTCAATTTCATATGCCCTGCAGTAGAGTGCAGCCATTGTCAACGCACACACTAAAGGTTTGTTGCCAGCAAATTGAATTAAACACAGCCCACGGCCCTAAGCGACGACAGAAACCTATTAGGTCAATTTTTCCTCTTCATTTATCGATTTGCATGAAGTATGCTGAACTATTTCACTTATTTATTAACTCTGCTTTTACTTTACAGAAAACTCGAATTTAAATTAATCATTTCCCATTAGTTAAACGTTTTTCAGCGCACAGTCATTAAAAGTTCATCATACGAATCATACGAACTTATGCTCAACCTTCTTTGTTGATTTATTTCATAAATATTGTGCAGTAATAGCTTTCTTCAATTTTGTTGTACGTATGTAAATCAGTTTCATTTACTCTGCATTATGTAAAATATGGGTATTGATAATAGCTTTCCAGTCGTTGTTGGTGGCTAGCTTAAGCTGAAATTTATAGTGGCCACGTGGCAGTGGGGCAAACTTCATATACTCCTCTTTGAATATCATGTTGCGCACAATTATGGCATTCTAAAATGAATTAAAAGCAATAAAATCGGTAGCTTTCAAACATAATAACTTACTTCATATGGACACGTGTGATTCAAGTTCGAGTCATTATGCATTAAATCCATAAATATTTTTTCAAATGACATTTTCTTAATCGGTTTCGCCATAAAGCTGCATAAATCGAACGTTGAATTAACAATAAATGGACGATATCCATTAAATTTTCGCCACAGACTCATATTTATCTGCAAAATGTTACTTATTGATATACAGATTAATCATTATATTAAATATATGTAAGCTCAAACACCGAACCTTTATGTTGTCCACAGGTCCTTTATTCAGTCTCCCATATATGTTCAAGCCAACGATACCACGTCCAAGTATTTTGAGATCACATTGCTCGAATGTAACGTAAGATGGATCCAACATTTTACACTCAATATTTGTGAACCGGGACACATCGGCAGATAAAGCAGCCGTGGCCAATAGAAGGGTTGCGAAAGGGAGCCACATTATACCACAGGTGGCGAATCGAAATATCAACTATTTAAATGAGCCCAGCTATATAAAGGTAACTTGAAATATAAAAAACAGATAATTGAAGATTAACTATATTCGGACGTGCGTGAAAATACCCTAAGTCCAGCTTTACAATATAAACTCGTAGCCAAAACATTTACTCAACATAACAGAAAACAAACTTTTCGTCCCCATTAAGTTCTTCCGAATTGTCAAGCCTTCAAGGCTATATAATTATAATTATATTGAGAAAATGAAGCTAGAAGAGTTCATAGACAGAAAGACATGCATGTTTTGTGACCAATATACTCTATTCATTTACTTAAACTATTTCAAACTAAAAATAACTCGAATATCATCGATCAGCGAGTATAGTCGTCAATGGGTATAAAAAAGATTCAATGAAATCGTTTGACTGGAAAGATTGTTACGCCGATGATTGAAATAATTTACGGAAATGTTTCCAGCACCATAAATGAAAACACCATCAATGTTTAATTAAAAGTTAACGCAGAGTTTAGCATTTTAACAGCTGATTTACTACTATATTATGTGACACTGAAATTTGAGCTTGCGTCTTGAGAGACAAATGAATTATAAATTGTAAACACATTTTAACTTAAAGAAAGTGCTCCTCAAGAGAAAGATTCGAAATTCCGAAACTAAAAATCAATTCAAAACTTTGAAAAACCCAAGTTTAGATTATATTGAATATTCACTAAATCCAGTTCGTCTTCATGGTAACCCGAGAAGTTAATGATCACCTATTTGGGCTGATAGTGTCTCAATCTCTTATAAGTTCCAAGAATATGGAGTTGGTAGATACGAACAGATGAATAGAGATTGTTGGAATTGATTAGGATTCCTCTCTTGAAGTAGATCTATCAATTTTATTACATATAACAAAAATTCATTTTTTCCTGAAATCCCATTTGCAAAGGAAAAAAGCAAACTTTTTATTCAATTTTTTGTACATTTTAGCAGATTAAAGTCGGATTTTAAGTTATAATTATTTTCATTGAATGTTCATATTTATTTCGCACACCTTAGGAACGTATTTACAGTGCATTATGTACAAAATGTGCATTGATAATAGTTTTCCCTTCGTTATTGGTGCCTGCCATAATCTGAAATTTATAGTGTCCGAACAGCACTGGAGCTAACTTAATATACTCCCCTTTGAACACCATATTGCGCACAATTATTTCGTCCTAAAATGAAGTCAAGCTTAAAAGGTAGATAGTAGCGTACAATGGATCCAGCATCTTGCACTCGATATTTGTAAACCGGGCACATCCCCAGTTAGAGTAGCCGTGACCAATATAACAAGTGCGAATGGAAGCCACATTGTCCGACAGGTTGCGAAGCGTAGTTGAGACTAAATCAAACAGAGCAATACATTGCATTTATATTCGAATTGAACAATATAATAAAAATATATAAAAAACATGGCAAGCCAAGCAAAATAAAGTAATTACCGACTTTTAATAAAGTAATTCTCTCTAAATAAATAGATGAACGCCGTCTAAGTAGTGTTTAGACGCACGACAATTTATACTTTGTCACTTCTCAATTTGCTTTTTATTCGTTGAAAGCAGATTAAGTAATCTTAGTTGTAATATTGCTTGTCAATATTCAATATATATATCTACCACCTATATGTTTATATGTCTTGTATATGAAATGTTTGAAAAATGATAATATATTAAAGTTGTATTTACACATTAAAGTTAGCGTCAAAATATAAATTAACACAAGCAGAGCCTAATGTTGATATTTATTTGTGTCATTCGAGTGAAAAGATATAGATTCGCTTAATGCAAATTCAACGTTTTATTAAAAGCTAATTAGAAAAAGTTATTGTTATTGTTATTGACAGTAATATGCCTATAATGCTGGCATAAATAAATTTCCATGAAATCAGAATTTGCAGGTAGAGAATATTAGAGAATATAATTGGCAAGGCTTTAAAGAATTTGCAATACTCAAAACATGGCTAAATATACTTACTTAGGTATTTACTCACCTCAAAATCTAGTTATTAACACTTTTGAGTGTTTCCCAGGTAAACAAAAATGCGAGGCTTATATTTATGAATTTGAAATCTTTCATTTATTTATTTACTCATTTGCAAATAAAAAGTGTGCATTGACAATAGTTTTCCACTCCTTGTCGGTTGCTGCCATAATCTGAAATTTATACTGGCCAGTTGGCAGCGGTAAAAACTTCAGGTACTCTGTCTTGAATATCAGGTCTTTTACAATTATAGCCTCCTAAAAAAAATATATACGCTATCAATAAAATTGTATTTTCTTGCATATTCTGACTTACTTCATATGGACAAGAGTGATTTAAATTCGAATTTTTAGCGACAAAGTCCAAAAATATTTTTTCATACGACAATTGCTTATTAGACTTTCTCATAAAGTTACAAAAATCAAAGGTCGTATTAAAAATAAACGGACGGTACCCATTAAACATGCGCCAGAGGCTGATATTAACCTAAATTTTTAACGGTTAGCTAGATCCAAAATTAATAATATCAGCATACCTTAGCATTGTTAAAGGGTCCTTGGTTCAGTCTCGCGAAAACACTCAACCCAATCACACCCCGACCAAGTACCTTAAGTTCACATTGCTCGTAGGTGGCATACGCTTGATCCAACATCTCACACTCTATGTTTGTAAAGCGGGTCACATCGACACACAGAGCAGTTGTGACCCAAGAGAGGATTACCAATCGAAACCACATTGTTCAACTAACTGCATGGAACGGCCAATTTCAACAAAAATAAAAACAATCAGAAACATTTTTTGGTAGAGCACTTACTTGAAGCGATAGTGCGTGGAAATACCCTAAGTTCAGCTATGCAATATAAATGTTACATCTGTCAGCTTGGATACTTCATATGTGTGCTCATGGTCAAAAGAAAAATAACAAAGGTTTTGACTCATCGAATGTCATGACTAAATCGAATCCACTTTTCCTGATAATCAAGATATATTCTTATTTTTTTTTTATTATTATTATTTATTATTTATTTATTATTATTTAGCGGGAGTAACATCTGTCTGCTATATAAATTAGCACATTTTTAGTATACCCTTTATGGTAAAACACTGGGTATGACTTATGTAATGAACATTTTAATGATACCCTCTCGACTATTCGACAAACAAATCATTTGATTGGAAAGATTGTTACGGCTTTTGTTGTCTGTCTAAGCTGGATTCAAATGACAAGATCAAAAATTGAGCTCTTTATTATGAATATCTTCTT